CTCCAAATCCCTCACATCGCCCATATTCCCACGCTGCGTCCCCCGCCGCCACGCTTCAGGGAGCTCCTCAGCCGGAAGCAGCCTCCAACTCCCGAGCCGGAGCCGCGAAGCCCTCTCCGACAACTGCCAGAAGAGACTCAACGCCTCGCCGATCCGCTGACTGGGCACATGGACCTCTCCACCATCCAGAAACAAATCCAGAGGGTAGTACGCCGGCGCACCGCCAGCCAGAGTCCTGGAGCGCAGTCGCACCGCAGTCCGCTGGTCGCCAGAGCCCGGGCCCGCGCCCCTCGCGTACTCGATGTCCATAGTCGTGTTATACCTAATCTGCTCCAGCGACCAGCGCGCAACACGCTCGACCTCGACTTTCCCCACGGCGCGGCGGTGACTCGTCCAGCAGGATAGCGCCAGTGGATTTCTGCACTGGCGTTCTCGGCGCATGTTGAGGGTGTTCTCGCGCGGGCGCTGGGCTGCAGGGACGACCATCCGCGCTTTGATGTCGCGGTATGTGAGGCGTGGGTCTGTACGCATCCAGTACTCGAGGAGCCAGGCTGCCGGGCGGATGGAGATGTATCTTGGTAGGAAGGGAAAGGCGCGGAGGGGGCGGCCGTCATGGTCTTTGACGACTTGGTTGTTCTCGATGAGGTTGCTGAGTGGAGGGAGATCATCGAAGCGTGGGGCCTCCAGGCGGAAGAGGAGAGGTGGTAGATTGTTCTCGGAGTAGGCTGCGTGGTGGGTGTTAAGGCAGGTGTGGTATCGGTCAGGAGGGGCGTCATCTGGAGGTGTTTTAGTATGACATTGCTTAACGAGGAACATGCAACACTGACGATGGCATGTCAACTGCTGCATAGCTAAGACGTAGCATATTAGTAACTGAGACATTGATATGCAACGAACGGGACATACCAGGAGGATCAACAGGTGGTGAGAACATATTGATGAAAAATAGCCTTAGATGTGTTATTAAAGTAGAGAGTAGAATTGTTTATACAGAAGGAAAAAAAGAAGTAAAATCTCATATTTATACCTGAGTGCTGAGGCATTGTGAATACAACAGCAGAAATCATTGCGAACAGCTCGGTGCTAGCGATGCTTGCCTGAGCAGAACCTGAGAATGTGCATATGCTGGAATACTCAGAGAGAAATATCCCTCTACAGACTGGAATATTCTACTGAACCAAAGTAACACTGTATCTGTTTAAATAAGATATGCATAGCTGCAACGTGAATCTGCGAGCAATTCCATCTTGTAATAAACTTAAATAACTATACATCTTTATATAAATCCGCTTAGTGATGGCAAAGGTTTATGAGCGCATACTTCCGCATCTTGGCCAGTAATGCCGCTAATGCGCCGTTTTAGGCTTCAGGACTGGGGATATACACGAAGAATAGTATGAAGTATTACATCAAAGCCGAATGAGCTAATGCAGCTAATACTGCATTCACGACCTCTACGAAAATGAAGTGAATTGAGGAAACAATTGATTTCGCTGATGGGATCACTCTGCCCAAAGAGGAAAGTGCAACCCTGGCTGTCACGCTATCCGCGGAACGCCGCCTTGGCAATCAACCTTATCTGAACGACACCATTCATACTGAGAGGGTCCAGAAGCCCAGTGGACAGCATATAGCTGTTGAAAAGCAGAAAGCAAAGAAAGACACAAAGCTCAAACGATAACAATAGACATGGCAACCCGAAGACGACTGCCTGGCCAACTCCGCTCCAGCAACGTTCCCGGGAAATCGAGGACTCCTCCGCTTGAAGGGGTATCTGTAGAAACGAAAGGCCGCCAGACAACAAGAGAACAGGACAGAAGACAAATTGACAAAGCCACACCAGACGCCCACTAAGCAGGGAAACTAAAAACAAGAAGCGCAGATATTGAAAGGTAGAGCTAGCCTCAGATGACGCCCTCCACATAAGGCATTTCGAAAAGGAATTTCTGCCCGGCGTAATACTCGTTGAGCGCGACGTCATATACCCATTTCAATACGCCCTCGTTGGTAGGACGTGGGTGGAATATTGGACGCAACGTCATGGGTTCGCAGACGAGGGATGGAAATAGTGGATCCGGCAATGGCGGCGCAGTCGTGCGAGAAATTGGAACAACATTGATCATGTCGTCGAGGTCGAACTTGCTGGCAAATTTGGCATACAGGGAATCGGTATTGCAAAAAGGTAGTGCCTTCTTGAAGGCCTTGTGCTGGCGCTTCATTTGAGGCCGTCGGGGCGCCTTCAAGACTTTAGGCACATCCTTGCGCTGGCCTGAAAGCTCCTCTTCGCAAGGATGCAGCCAGTCGAGTCCTTGACGCGATTCTCCCTTGAACAAAAAGTCGAAGTTGCAAGGGCACAGGTCTCCATCATAAAGAGTTTCCTCCAGAGGAGAGTCGAGGTTGTCCTCTTCGGAAACAGTGAAAGTAAGAACCGGGGAACCGGGGACAGCAGAAGAGACTGGAGAAAGGACAGGAGAAAGAAGAGGAGAACTGAAGACAGGCGAAAGTGGAACAGGGGAGCTTGGGATAGGAGAAGGAGAACTGAAAATGGCAGTCATCGACTCCTGGGAAGCTGCACTCTGACCGGACGAACAGCCAGGCTTGACGGAGGGACCTGGCATGGACGGGGGTGGAGTCAAAGGCAAGTATTCTCTGATGGGAGTGGCAGGGTCGAGCGCATCCATATCCACGTCCTCTTCTGTCTTTGCCACATCCCTTTTCTTCTTTGGAGTGCGTGGTCCACGATGTCCACGTCTATCAGGTCCATAGTTGTCCGGAAGAGCGATGCGACCACCCGCTTCACCAAGTTCAGGATTTATCAGGCCGGGAGTCAACCCGCGGGTCGAGTTGAGTGTAGGGTCAATGCCCTGCTCGCTCATCCTTTTCAGCACGTCCTGCTCAAGCTGGCAACTGATCTTATTTCCTGAGCTCCAGGCAATCAGGTGAAAGGCTTTGCGAAATCTGACATTTCGCTGCTGAAGGGCGTTGCGTTCAATTGCAAAGTCCTCGTGCATGCGGTCAATAATGTCTTGTAAGTGGATGCGCCTGTCGAGGCGCATCCATGCCTCGACTCTGAACTCCTCGACGTCAGACGAGATGTGATCCGGAAGGATCTCAATGTCTCTGACCCATTTGCCGCCCAAGAGTTTCGTCTTGGGCGGCTCCCGCTCTTTCTTCTCATCCTCCTCCTTTGTGGGCTTGAACTGGTAGAGGATGGCCGGAAGATTGTCCCAGGACCAATCCTTCTGGTCCTCACGGAAGCTGGTAAAGTTCCGCGGGTCCACGGCTTCTGTGCTGCCCTGCCGAGGTGTTTTTTCTGCTGCCGTTAGGATCAGTTTCCGAAAAGAGAGAGGAAGTCGACTCACTTTTGTTGCCCTGAGGCTTGTCAGTGCTCTTGGGGCCCTTGAGACTCTTTCTCTCGATTTTGCCCATTGTTGATGGCTGCAAACCGATGTCAGCCATGCAAAAGAAACGGCGCCGAACCCAGCTATTGCTGGGCAACACTTGTGCACACGACTCAACGGGCACTCATCAACACTCACTTGATGCTGTCTTGGAACTTGTTGCTGAAAGCTGATCGTTGTGGTGATCTGTGGGAGCAAGTTGGTACTTGCGATGATGAAGTGGAAAAGTGTTTGACGAAGAAAAATCCCGAAGGAGAGAGATCAGGAGAATATAAAGACGAAGAAGAATTGGATTTCGCCATATTGAGTTCTGAGGGCTCCTCATTCTTTTCCGTTTCTCAATAATGTGGAGGTTGGTATAGTCGACTGAACTGGGAGAAGTTTGGTTGTGCGATGGTGATGAAATGGGGTGAGCGAATATTCACTCGGCATGCCTCCTCTAGTCTTTGTCTGCCTCGCCTCCTTAGAGAGCCCCTGAAAACCCCAGACTCACAAACACACCTTGACACGATCTGTCGGAAGCTGTCTTTCTGAGACGTAGAATTTTTGCTCTTCAAAATGATACGCAGCTTGCCCATGTTAGTATCGTTCCTGGGTTCTCCGCCGCGCTCCCCGGATGAAGCCTCTCGACATGTACATCTGCTGCCATGTCCTCAATGACAGCTACCGACCCACCCAAACCCAGTTCATCCAGCGCTGCAGGTACACCACGAGGAGGCTGGAAAGCTTCTTTTTTCAGTACAACGCAACCAACAATTCTCATTGGCTCCGCTGGGCAAAGCCGGAAAAGGGTACCGGAAATAGATCGCGTGGCTGGATGTCAGGTGCTGCGTGGAGTCTATTGTCCGGTCTTCTGGACGCATTGTAAGCTGCGAACAATCATATTGACTGCTGCTCGCTGCTGAATGAGCCCCCTTTCCGCGGCAGAGGCAGGAAGCGAGTGGACATGGTGGATCTAAGCTGAAAATCGCTCACTAGGCGGGCCTTTATTGTATTCCGAATATAATGAGACTGAATAGGGTCTTTGGTTGTACTTAATGTGTTTGTCTGGAAAGAGACTAGCCGGGGGGCTGGTGAGGGGCTTGACGGAGTGGAAGAAGGTAGAAAACCATGGGGTAGAACTCCCTATTTATAGGTCCTGGCCTCGGTCTGAGAATTGATTTAAACAAGGATGGCTGAGCCGTGTTTGAAGTACGAGTCAGAGATGATTGAATAGAACAAGCTAGGCCGTAGGCGGAGAGGACTTGGTGGGAATGAAAGGCTCGTACAAAGTGTAAGCAGGCCAATATGAAGGTAAATCTATGGAGAAAGTGCCGCAAATGAGGTGAATGAAAAGGCAATGTGACATGAATTCCTATCTCTGTGAAATGGAATTGTACAATGTGCATGCTGCCTCTGTCACTATGTCCATGAAAGCTGAATCAAAGCAAACTGCGTTTCCCAGCGGAGACCATATTCTGTGAAGTCATCTCGAAGACCCAAGTACTCGTTACATAGAGAAGGACAATAGAAAAGAATTCAAGAGACCGGCAGCTTTACCCAACCTGAACGCCAGCTCATGGCGCGTGCCGAGAACTCCCTCCAATTCGTAAAAAGCACTCAGCCTTTCAAGACAGTAGCCCAAAAATCATCACTGGGACTTTTGGTGGACTTGCCAGTGTTCGACCTTTCTATACTCCTGCGCTTTGTGCTAGTATCGTCGCCAGCTGCCGACTCGCCGAGATTCATATTCTCACCACGACTGCGCTTCCGGCTGTTGCTCATAGTCACGGACGCCTCAATGTCCGCATTGTCAACACATCTGCGCTTCGAGCTGGCGATTACGTTTGCGGGCTCCTGAGACTCCAAATCCTCATTGCGTCCACGCTTCAGGGTATCTCTTTCAACAACATCGTAATCGCGGAGAAGCCAATCCTCGTACGACATGTTGTTTTTTTTCAAAAATCTCTGCAAACTCATTTTGCGACCAACAGTATCGTCTGCATCGTGGAAGGGTCGGGTGGAAGGCTCGATACAATAGGCCAAGCCATCTACATCAGGATATTCGAAGTCGGCATGAGTGGAGTCAATCGTTGTAATTTGCGGTGACGCAGTTGCTCTCACATTGCTAGATAGAAAAGTCAGTTAGTATAGTCTATAGAGCCCGATTAGCAGATGGAATCATACGTATTCAAATCTTGCTGCGATATCCTCTGCTCTGCTTCGACCTCGCGGCTAACGCCGACGTTAGCAACGCTCTACCTTAGAGGAAGAAGCCAAGATACATACCTGCTCGGTTCCGTTCTGAAATCTGCCTGCGAAGTGTGAAGTGGCCCAGGACGACGACCCTCGTACATTTCACCGGAGCTGCTGGAAGCATATTCTAGATTCATCCTTGCCTGTTTCATATGAATGATGTTCTCTCCTGGTATAGGGATGCGTCCGCCGGCTTCACCCTTTGATGGATCAATCAAACCAGGCGTCAGTCCCCTAGTGGTATTCTTCTGGGTATCAACTCCGATGGCCTTGAGCATGCGATCAATGTCCCAGATGGACTTTTGCGTGTTCCAATTAGCCACATGGAAGGCGCTGCGAAAGTTCTCTCTGCGAGACTCAATCTCCTCTGCGGTCAACTTGTACTTGGGATTGACACGGTCGATGATATCCTGCTGGGTGATGCGACGGTCCAAACGCATCCAGGCCTCGAGTCTCCATCCTTCCACATTGGAGGAGATTTGGCTCGGGAGTACGGCAAAGTCATTGATCTGCTTTCCAGTAAGTGCATTAGTTGTTTTATAAACACGGTGTCTCGATTTGCGGTAGTCGGTTCTGGGTCTGAGAACGTAAAGAACTTCAGGCAGGTTTTCCAGATTCCAGTATGTTTGATCGCCATGAGGGGTAGTTTGGTCGTCTGCAGCTCCTGGCTTCGGCTTCATCAAGTTATTGTTAGCATTTATGACCAGGTATTTGTGCCCCACTGGTGGTGAGGAGTGGATGCTCGAAGGAACCGCAGGATGAACAAGACTTCCTTGAGTTTCAGACAGACCGGAAGGCTCGAATTTGACTTGAGGCCTGTGTTCCGGTGCAGCTTGAGTAGCAGACAGAGGCGACGGTCCATGTATCAATTGAGAAACAGGCACTCTTTGGTAGTCTGGACGAGAAGACAGTCCCACAGGCAGACGAGGCTGCGAGATAGATAGTGAAGGGCGCCCGCTCGTCAATTGCGCTCGAGCAGCGGGCGCGTCTTGAAAATTTGAATGAAGAGAGAGTCCAACGGTTGGTCGCAGGGGAGTCAGAGGATCGATTTGATGGGTAGCAGATTGAGCAACAGCCGAAGAGTACCAATCTCCCTGTTTTAAGACACTTGGTTAGACCTCCGATGCAAGACAACGACGACAGACTGACGGTAGCATGTCGGCTACATCACTGAGTCGAAGCTCGTCCTTGGGCAGGCTTAAGAAGGAATTCACTTGCCTCGAGGGTAGGAATGTCCGCTCGTTCCTCATGTGAATAAAACTCTAGGCCAGTGTAAAAGCCTGGTCCAGGGAACAGACCACTGCTCTGATGGAAAGCTTTCTGAAAGAGGCCCGTTCGAGTGGAGATGTCCATGGTTACAAGTCGCCCTCAGGACGGGCACCCCGGACTGTTTGCGTGCTGATGTGAATATTGTAATGACGATGTATGATACTCTGTGGACTAGGAGGAATGGGACAAAGCAATAGATCTCCTGTGAATACGTTCTTTACATGGTCAGTCCTGTACATCTTCAAACATGTCAAGAGACTCACAAAGAGCATTCAACGCATTTACTAAGGTGAACGGTGATCAAGACTAGGGACTTTCCAACCGGAACTGTAGATTATTAAGAAATGCAAGCTTAAGCTAAGATGCTCTTTTGAAGACATAAAATGGTGTTCCGATGAAAGAGTGAACGCGTCGCCAGTGATGGTGGTGAGCAAAGCGTCCTTGGGATGATTGCACAGGCGAGTAAACAAAACATCTTGTCAGTCTCTGCCTTTTTGCATCCTGCATCAGCCTCTTCATTTTCCTCTTTTTTCCTCTGCCTCTCTTCTGGGTTATACTGCCTCAAGCAAATTCATCAATCTACGCATCATGCTCCGGGTTGAGGTTCCCATTGTATCTATTCTCTGTACTTATCGCAAACCCAGTATTTGAAGCAATACAATGCACAACCGCCTCATCAATTGCCTCAAACTGTCAGTCTATGTATCATCGCCTGCTACAGGTTCCTAGGATTGAGAGACACTACGCGATGTCTTCTATCACGAAGGTATTATCCAGTAAACTGGCAGTACTGCGAAATTTGCCTCTATTCCGAGTGTGCTAACCATATGTATCCCTCATAGTAGTCATTGCAATCTAATGCTAAACGGCTTCTTACCTCATCATATTCATACAGATTGACGAATGCTCAAGATAGAGGCTTCTTCGAGTAGATGCAGAGTGGCTGCAGACACAGAAGGCATTGCTGCTTAATGGCAATCTTGACGAAGGTCTAGCAATAGACTCAGTCTTCAATTCTTTGAAACAATCCCGTACCTTATCGTCTTAAAGTCCTGCACTGTGCCGTGTGTTTCATTTCCTGATGGCGCAGAACAGAAGTATATATAAGCGAGCCAAGACTCGGTAGTCCATTATGCTTATCACTTTCTACTCTGCATCCCTTGTACACCACCACAACTAAAATCAGATCAAAAGTACAACAGACATAAAACCCTTACATTATCTCGAAAATATCAACTCTTTAACACGAAACTCAATTACCACAGTCCACCCATGAGCAGGCGCGCGACTCCTCTCCTCCGCCTGATCGAGAATATAACAACCAACTCCCGCAATAAGCCTCAACACTTGCCAAAGAAATACAGTCTACAGATTGCATGCCACGTCAAACCGAACGCCTCCAGCTCCCGAGAAGGTATCATAGCGGTGGGAGCAGAGAAAGTAGATGTCTGCGTTGCCGCGGTGCCCAGGAACGGAGAGGCGAACGCAGCTGTATCGCGGGTTTTTGCCCAGGTATCTATCCTTACTCATGACCACTTCGCCAATACAGCGCTATAATGCCGGCTGCTAATACATGATAGATATTTGACGTCCCCAAGTCCAATGCGGAAGTAATCCGTGGCTTGAAATCGCGCGACAAGACTCTTTGTATCACTGATCTGGACATTGGGAAAGATGGAGAAGAGCAATTTCTAAAAGGAGCTCGTCGGAGACTGGAGGAGGCAATCATTAACAATAGTTGATTCTCCGAGGATCACATAGTTCTGGTTGGATATGCCATAGCTTTCTCAGAGTCCGAGTCCGCTGTACTGTGACATCACCAAGACCGCGGACAATTTTCTTTATCGCGCCGCTCCGCAGCAACACGTTTTTACCAACACAACCTCTCGTAACCCAGCATCCTGCATAATCACAAACCCGACCATGACCTCAACAATAGACAACCCTCCCAACCTCCAAACCGGACCAACACCATCCAAGCGAAAATCCCCCGAGGAAACCGACGCGTCGAAAACCACCTCCACCACAAAAGTCCTATCCTTCACCTCCCGCAACCCACCCTGGACCTACCTCAAACTCCAACTGTACGCTCTACTCTACATTCACCACACGACGCACGCATAGATACTAACCCAGTTCACTCGCAGAATCACCCAGCCACCAACATCAACAACCCAATCCCCCCTCGACCCTCTATCCGCAAAAACCCACCTGACCGCCGCCCTCGCCCAATTCCTCGGCCTCACAGGGACAGCGATCCCACTCGACATCCTGAAAATCACCCGGGAGGACCAAGCGCAGACGCCAACAGTCTGGATTCGCGTTCCACGCTCGGACGCCGCGGCCGTCGTCGCCGCGCTGAGCTCCTGGATCGGTGGCCGCGCCGGCGGGGGGAGTAAATCTGCGACTGCGGCGGCGAGCGGGGGGAGCGTGGCGTGGCGGGTGTGCGCGAAGGGGAATTACCTCGGGGCGGTGGTACATGGGTCTGGGGGCGATTTGTTTGTCCCGTAGGGTGGTGTTTTGGTTCCAGGGAATTATAAATGTAGATGGAATGTCTATGGCTTTGAGGTTCTGTCGCGTCGCGTGGAGGTTAGAGGGGGCATGATGCTCCAACGCGGATGAGCTCCGCGAAGACAGAGTCCCAGGATTGTCGACACGGAGTGCTACATCCATGCTCCGTTGGCCAGATGAGCCAATGGCTACGCAAGCCTACCACATCAGAGGCAGAGGTAGCGTCAGCGTGATATCGCCCAGAGCACCCGACTTTCAGGACGCTCGTGACAGATGCACCCGAATGAGTCTGCCTTACGAACATTCATACAATGGGTAGTTCGTCGCTTAGGTCGCGGACAGATGCTCCTGCAAATATTCATGACTATTGTATGAAATGCTAGCATATAAACAGTCCCACATGACCAATATTCATAAACGAGAGATATATCCACAATTTGCAAATGCCCTTTCTGTTCAGACAAAACACCGAAACTCGCATGCTCGATTGAAAGACGATCAATGCCGACGCTGTACAAACACGATAACCGATGGACCCTGGTATACAGATTTCAATTTAAATCAAACTTTTTCGGTTCACTTTACTTCCGAGGAAACTGTAGCCACATTTCAGACGGATGCCTTGGCCACGCTCGTATCGGTCCGGGACCGCAGACTTCCGTCCCCGAAGATGGTGGACGAGTCCGACCCACCTGAGGACGGGTGGTTGGCGACGACCTTTGCCCGCAGCGCGGCGCGGATATCCTCAACGCTGCGGTCCTTCCAGTCCGGGTATCCGGAGGTGCTGAGAGGGAAGAGAACAAGGTTTTCGTCGCGGGAGGTGAAGTCGTCCACGTTGGGGGGTGGCATGGCGGTGATGATGTCGAGCTCGACGGCGATCTGTCTGCAGTATGTGTCCAAGGGAAGATCGTTGACGTCCTGGCCAAAGGGGTTCTCGATTTCGCTGCCGATCGTGGCGAGGCCGAGGATGATGTATGCGGCGACTGTGCAAGTTAGTTTCCGCACACATATACAACGAGGGAGAGGGCTTACCGATAGAGCCGGGAATAGTGATCCATTCCAGGGCGGGGTAGAGCTGGAATGGAAGCACCAGGACATAGATCCAGGCAATCTGAGCAATGGAAATACTGTAGGCCACCGGCAGTGGTGTATCCAGCACACGTTCGGTTCCAGTGAGGACTTCATTCAGGGAACACAGGGCAGCAACTGGTGGAAGAAATCAGCAACATGGTCCAAAACGCAATTGGCACTTGAAAGGACGGGGACTTACTGGCTTGACTTTGGTGAAGACTGACGGACATAGTGCCATTCGCGATGCAACGGTCAACATAGGCAGACAAGTAGTTGAGAATCTCCAGGGGCAGATGTCCCAGAGGCTTCTTGGAGCGCTTGACGAGCTTCCTGGGATTCGACTCGGCGAAGGAGACGCCGAGATATTCACCCATCGCCTTCCAGGAACTCTTTTTGGGCGGCTGAAGGAGTGTACGGTCGTGGGCGTCCTTGGCAAAGGTATCCAGGTGTCCGACCAGACCCGCCAGGTCTTCGTAGGCGATATCTGGCTCGAACCGCAGTTTGTGCTTTAGGGCGACAGCAAACGCGAGGATGAGGTTCATGGCCGTTCTGCACGGGTTAGCCCGGTTCACAATTCTATTCTGAGGCAGGCTTACAGTTTGCCCAGCAGGTCATCCTTTTCAAATTCGGTGCCTGTTCTTTCCGCCGTATTGACCCATATCGTGCGAGCAAGGTTGCGAGAAGTCTGAACCAAGAGCGCCCAGTATTTTCGTCCATCTGCCCATCTGAGATACACTTAGCAAAAACAACGGCAAGCTGCAGAAGTCGACTGCATACCTCTCGTAAGCTGTAGAGCTTCGGAATGAAAGAGCCAAACCGACGACGAAACCGAGAACCGTAAGGAGAATATTGTTAATGCCAACTGATGGTACGATCAGCCAGCGATACACCACATATTGCAGCCGAGCCACTTACGCCTATGTACGTAATGTGAGAAGAGTGTGATCAAAGTCGACCACGCCGCGACAAAGAGCAGAGGAAGAATCAGTTTGGGCAAGACACTGCCATGCATTCGAAGAAAGACCGGCCATTTCGAATGCTTATCGAGGTCTCGGGGACCGTGCTATCCACCCAGCAGATCAGTACCGGATCAGAACAACAGGAGGAAAAACAGACAACACAACACATACAAAGTAGCTGTCAAAGTCATCGTTTTTGCGACGGTGGAACCTGAATTGGCTTTCGCGAGAGTCGGCAAGGTTTTCGAGAAAGGTTGGTCGAGGCGTGACGCGTCCAATAGGTTGCTTTTCCTCATGATTGACAGGTTGGTTATGATGGGCAGCTTGCGCATGAACATTTGCCTGGACTGGAGGAGCAGCTTCGTTCGTTGTGCCTGCACCTGCAGCGTCTGCAGCAGGTGGAGCCGAATGTCCCTCCATGGTGCTAGACTGAAGTACAGATGGGAGATGTAACGGGAACGAACGTCGAAGGTTAAAGGATTAAACCGAGCGAGAGGAAGTGGAAGTAAACTTGTAACCGGACAAGTCGAGACAATGAACGAATGTTGTAGTCGAATATCAAAAAAGGAAACTCAAAAGAAGGTAACGAGATTTAATACAGAAGGATAAAGTGGGAAGGAAGAAGAAGAATGGGATACGCTAGTCTAAATAATCGTGAGGAAGGATTCTACGAGTCTGTCTTACGGAGCAGACTAGCCAGTAGCACTACTAGATAGATACTAAGTTAGTTATCTACTGCTAATATTAACCGTACCGATCGCCCTCCGGGTCTGGGTCTCGGGGAAATCTTGATCTACGGAGTATTCGATTGTCCCTTAGGCTGGTCTAACGCCATGGAGAGTCCTATGGCGCAGCTCCTACTCACCTCAACTAATAATAATCCGCAGCTTTATTACTGTCACTGTGTATGTCCACCCTCCATAACCACCACGCAATAGGACCCAACTTGTGCCATTGTAGTCTGCTCTGTCTGACTGAGTGCAAAGTCCAAGTCCAGACTCTCTCCTGTTTCAAAGAGCGCCACGCAACCAAAAACGTCAGCGCGGGAACTGCCGTTGCTCCCAGGCACCATTGCTCATTGGCCAGGATGGTCTGCGGGCAGTCTCGGGCCAAGCCACGCCGCAGTCCAGGCCTTCTTCACATGCACCACTGACCAGTCAACGGCTCGTCCAGCGAAAATTTCGATTCTGAAACAGGCTGGACAACTGGCTGCCAAGCGGCTTGGATGTGAGCCATAAATATCTTTTGCTCCGAAAAGGGGGGTCCGCTAGCGGCCGCCATCATTTTATTACTCAAGTTACTTGACCCTTCGCGAATATTCCCAAGTATGTAATGTAACATCGAGCTAGGACTGCCGAATTGTTTGGATCCAACAGTCAGGCCTGTATCTGGCCCTGGACAATGTCCAGGTAAAGTTATCACTTACGTAGCTCTAACCTTTTTTGGTGTATATTAGTAGGCGCTCCAGTCTGTGTAGCATTAGTACCACCTGTTATATAGATAGCTATGACTTTCGCGCACTGAGCGAATCCACGCGAGTATCTGATTTGGAGTCCATTCGAGGCCGCTGTCGCCAGCCTACGACGACCGAGTATACACCGTCTCATTTGAGTTTGTCCTCCCACGATCCTTGAATGAGACCATGATGTTTTCAAGCTTTAGATCTAGGCAGCTGCCTGGGCTTAGTATCACCAAAGGGAAGCAAGGCCGATGATAAACTTACCCATATGAACTATCCTGCACTCTTTAAAAAGATGATCAAGCCTCATGAGAGTATGAATGTACGTTTTAATGAGGGGTAGTGGCATCTTTCTATTGTTAAAGCGCCGCTGATATGTCGACAATGGCTCCCTCATAGGTGGATACACAAGACACGAATAAGGACCTTCTGGACCTTAACCTTAAAAGAGCCTAGAGATGTTCGGATAAGTGAGCGACCGCGATATGATGGGTCTGCCATGGAGATGTGCTCTTCAAGTTCGCGCTCATGACAGGCGGAACTCGCATTGTTATTGGCGATTTTCAGTGCCATAACGCTCTCTGGCTCTTCGATATGCCTGTCTGTTTATTAGAGACAGACAGAGCTTCGATTAAACATACCCTTGCAAATCACGCCCGAGCCAACCTTGAGCAGGGTTTGGTAACGATCAGCGAGTACCTCTCCAGGCCTCGCTGGGTAGAAAGACTTGGAATCGTATACTGGCGAGATCTCTTCATCAACGAGATGTCGGGAGGTAAAGGTGGCCCGGGAGCAGGCAAGCCAGCAACATCTGGATCAGGCACGGAGCAGGCGGCTCGCAGTTTTTTGCACGTCAGATATACCCAATGAAGATTTTCATATCTATGTATGTCACTCGAATGTCACATTGGACTTTTGATACTCCGCATTGTGTCGATTGAGCTGAGGTAGATGCAGTGTGCCTTCAAAATATTGCCGATGTGTCCGACGACAAGCCAGATAAACAGAGCAGGACTGCCTTCGATTGAACATGATTAGGTTGTTGGTGATGCCTACTGCAACATCGGGATAGACCCAAGTCATTAATCTGCACGCCCACTGCCAATGCAACCTGTGGGCTAATAATAATAATCCCCAGAATTTCGGCCTCTCCGGGCCCACTTCGTCTTCCCCTCATGCCCAGGAGCACACCCTCGAATGATTCGAATCAGCTACTGCAAGGACGTAACCAAGTGATTCCGAGGGTAGAAGTCTTAATGAATCAGAGTAGCAGACACTTGCTCTGTCGAGTGATTCGAGTCAACCTCTGCCTCCAGACTGAATAAGGATTCTCCATCTGGAGTTCGTCTCTTCTTAGACCCCACAACCTTAGCACACTTTAGCAGCTATGGACCATGGAACCTACGCAGTCTCGATATTAGTTAGTTACGACGCGAGAAGAGTATGCCTGAAGAAACCACTTTGGCTCTTTGCACTCACCAATCCAGTTTTCCCAATCTGGTTGAAACACCAGATGAAGCATGCAGGGGAAGGGGACAAATGATCTGCCACTGTCTCGTGCCTGATCCATGAAACACTACAGGAACCAGGCACCCCTGGCTACTAGGCTGCACAAGGTTCAAGCCACAATCTACGGACTACAGGGTGTCCGACCGGGCGCAAATTCCCCCAACCTTCAATGAACTCATGACAATAGTGATAATCCATCCCATAATCCTAGTTGATATCAGGGAAGAAGAACATGTTCACCTTGGCGCTTCTTTAAGATCATCTCGATTAATCGGGTGAAATTAATAGATGACTCGATAAGAAGCTTGTTTGAAATCTTGTAGATGTGTGCTAACTCTTACTGAATGTTTAGAACCTTCCCGTGCGCTTTCCTCAACTTGCAGCTGAAATCATTAATGACCCTTACTGTGACTAGAGTAGTACATCTATATCTCAGCACCTTTTCGCAGACACATGACATCAAGCACAGCCTTTGAGCTCAGAGAATTGCTTCTCTAGCCCCCGCCATTCAAACATACTGATCTTCTGATTCGAGAGAGAATGTGTCTCTAACTCAAAATGGCCGACCACTATCCTACCAAGCAGTTTGTCTACTTCCATGTGGGCTTGTTACATTCGCCTCGGCCTCTCTTCCTGCACATCTATTTGCGAGTCAATGTATACTTCCTCGCCCTAGTCTAATGCAGCGGGTTAGGGGCAAGAGAATGGAAATTGAGATATAAGCGCGGGCAATACATTGATCTTCTTGGACAGTCTGACCAGTGTGATGGAATTGCCAAACCCTGAGCTGCTGATCTATGGTCATGACACACATAACGCAGCCGATGCATAGGACTCAGCATGACGGAGAACTACGGATATCCGTCCTGGTTCTGGAGTCATTGTCAAGTTGCGAATGGGCTGCTGCGTCTTGGATGTGATACTCGTCAGACTGCTCTATAAAAAGTGATTATGTGAAAACAATACATAGAGGCATAGCATCTGCGGCGAAGAACATTCACAAAGTAGTACTGGACGGTTTGGAGTAGAAATGCTCAAAGCAAGACCCGTGGGTTCGTATAAAGGCATGTGATGGAAAATGGTCATTGATAGTCCTGAGCCATAATAGTACGTATGTGCTGAAGGAGTGTGGACTTGGTGTCTCTATTAATGCATGAATTGGCATATGAAAACTGAAATTCCACCGAATATTGTGATTGTGGCCTAGGTTAGATTGACTGCACCTTGGACGCACTAGTATCGTCGCTATCAACAGCACCAGTTTGCTTATGGGGGATGACACCGGAAATATCGCCAGTTGGTGGCTATTCTCTATTGCATCAACCTATATCCATCGTCATGACTATCTTGACAACCGGATAGCAAGCCCTAGACGAGAGGCCAAAGGGATTCGCGACTTGATGTGGAGTGATCCTCGGGGTCTCTTGGCCAATTCGAACAGATTTAGTCAAGATCAAAGATCCTCATCGCCCAGCAATTTGCAACAACTACGTCGGCCACCTCGGATATTGTATCAAGGAGTGGAAGCCATGTTGATCCTATCCTCCTTTCGCTGAGCCTTGGCCCATGATCTGTAAAGTCTGAAAAGCTTGATCAGATGCCAACTAGCTATGGAGCTTAGGATAACAACGGCCGATGTCTGGATGATCGGCGCCCAGATTTCAAAAGATCGTCCGCTATTGATAATCTGTGTGGAGCCAACATACCTCGACTCGATCAGGCATGTCTACTTTAACCATTTAGGGCAAGTCGAGGTCAGATGCGATGCTGAGCATTTAGACCAATTTATGTGTTGAGTGGCATGGCAAAGGTCAAGAAACCCTTCAGTCATACTCGGAAGCTGTGATAAAGTTTGACCTTCACATAGGTAATTGAGAATCAGTCAGAATTCGAGACGTGCTCGTTTCATCGGATGAAAGGACGAGACCTACCCAAATTTAAGTCAGAATAAATATGCCTTGAGATTGTGATTTCCGTCCGAGTGCCACGGGTCGCGGAACGATAACGTGATAGCTGTCATGACTCGCTGGAAGTTTTGAGGCATCAACCTTACGGCTGCTTCATCCATGGTCAAGAGCTCTGTCGGGTTCCTTGGAAGGCTGCACTCATTCAAGTATATGATCCGAATAAATGCTCCAATTGCCAACCAATAAGCGAATATAGGTCTATACCTGTCTAGTAATGGCAGCAAAGAGAAGAAGAGTGGTCGCGTGCTAAGGTGCTCCGATGTAGTTGATTACTAACCTCGAGCTTAGAGTACGGACAAAACCGCAGTCCACATTTAAGTACCTGTTAGAGTTTTATTCATGCTGAAAAATCGAATATCGGAAAAGAGTGTCTACAAGTGAATTTAGGAACTATTGCCCTCAAAGATTGCTGTGCCATAGTAGGGATCTCCTTAGACTTTAGGTCCTTAGATCACTGTTTTTTGAGTGGAGGGATATGTATGAGGCACCCGTGTTCGGTACCATATCGATGCAAGGGACTGCAGGAGTCCAGAATCAAAGTTGGGATTCGCTTCCATCGTGGTGGCTCAAGGTTCAAATGCCGACATACTGCCGGATTAGGCAGCGAATCAGCGGTCAAGCCTGTTGTAGACGTTTCAGCATGGCAGGTATATTTCACCACGGAAAAACCACGTTGAGCAGATGTTGAGACTTGGTGAAATGTGCTGTTAGAACCGTAAGCTATTTGCGAATTGTGATACTTACACTGATTTCACCATGTGTGTGGAGGCGGGGGATACGGACTGCGCTAACCCGGAGAAGCGATGGCCCTCGTGGGAAAGTTGGAACCGAGGCAAAGTGGGCAGACTAGGTCTTCAGCGGTTCAGCCACTCTACACTTGGGCCACATCCTCTTCCCTCTCAATATTTCTAATTATTGGGATGGCTCCACACAATGCTCCTGCCTTTTGGCTTTCTGCTTACTCCGTACTCCTTAAGTTCCACCACGAATCTCAGATCACCCAGATACCCCATAGGTATTACCTTTTCGTGGCTGAAACGAGTCTCACGACTTCTGCTGAGTACTGAGTAGTCAATACAACAGTAACCTATCAGACGCCACTAGTAACGATACTCGTGCAAGTGAAGATTGCTCGGACCACCTAAGGCTCGCCATTATTGGCTTCCGCGGCTGCAAGGAACGTAGCGGATGTGCAGGGGCCGGAAAGTCCACCAATCCTTGTGTCATGGAATCGTCAAACTTGTCCAGGAATCCCAGTTAATTCATCTTTTTGACTTTAGAGTCTCAACATTGGCCCCGATACAAAGAATTATCATTGACTTTGCTGAGTGAGCGACAGCCCAATAATGTGTCGTCGTAGTTGGCGATTTGTCGTATAGATCTTCGACGGTGGAGTCGAAGGGGAACGATGGGTCCCTGGATCTGCCTATGACAGCCACGAGCGACTATCTGATCCCAGCAAACTTTCGGAGATACTACTGCTTTTGCAAGCACATGATATTGAACCATGGTGGCGACGAGACATTATTGGAGGTCTCCTGGAAATTCCATGCAGCTGGCGACCCAGACTGGTTTGAGAACTATGGAGCACATATGGAGCCAATATGAGTAGTTGAGCCCCCCCGAAACTTGGCTCCTGGCCATAGTTGATTTAGGGCCAGATTCGGGCTGTTGCCCACTTGTGTTAAAAGTAGTCGGTAGCCGGCTCCGTGAGCAGGATATAACAGCTGGCCTGCTGTCTCCTGCTGCATTTATCCTCTAAGGTGCCATCTGATCCTTTGTCACCATCGATCTCGCTCCTCAAGACTCTCTGGTTGCCTCGTTTGCATTTGGTTCGAACATGGCTTCTGGGTCCTTGACTCTTTCATCGCGTTGATGACAATCATGCCTACGTGACTCAGACTATCCCCAACGATACCACCAACCTCTTTTCCTCCACGACTGAACCCTGTATATTTATCACGTCGATCAGAATCTCTAACGACGTCGCCACAATGAGACTGCCACCTCCCGAAGTTCTGCTTACATGGCCGACACCCAACTACGTCGATCCGCCCACTCGCGGGAATGGTGCCCTGATCGTTAATATTGTCTGTTTAAGTTTCGCGTTTGTCGTTACGCTTCTTCGTCTCTACACTCGTTTGAAGATTACGTATAGCCCTGGTCTTGATGATGTTCTGATCGTGATTGCCCTGGTACGTGATAAGACTTGACGAATGACGATGCTGGATGGTTGTTGATTGATCGGTCTCAGGGCTTTGCCATTGCGATGTGTGCAGTCACCTCTCTCGCAACTGTACGATACGGCTGGAACCGACATATGTGGGACGTCCCACCGACGTGGCTTTCTACTGTCTCGAAGCTCAACCTTGTATTTCAAATTCTGTTCTCGTTGGCCTCCTCTGTCACCAAACTTTCGCTCCTATGGTTCTGCAAGCGTCTTCTCGGCGCCGGAAGTAAGGGCCTTTACCGGACCTACAACTGGTGTCTTATTGGAGGAATGGCTTTTGTGTCCCTCAGCTGCGCTCTTTTTCTTCTTTTCAGCATCTTCCAGTGCAAGTAAGTTGGTCAACAGTCTCATACTCTTGCTATGACTTACATCTACCTCATAGTCCGATTCATGCTTATTGGGATCTGGCCCCAACTTATCCATACAAATGCTTAAATGATGGTGCCATTGTCTTCTCCGCAAGTGTCATCAATATCTTCACCGATTTCCTCGTCACTGTCCTTCCTATGCCGCTGATTTGGAATTTGAAATTGCCTACTCGACAAAGGATTGCCGTAATTTCCATCTTCGGCTTGGGTATTGTGGTCAATGTAGCAGGCTCGGTTCGCACGGTGTACGTCTGGAAGAGCATGATCGCCTCATACGACACCACATGGCTGGGCTGGCCGGTCCTGCTCGCCGCATCTGTTGAGATCAACATGGGCCTGGTATGTGCTCTGGATGAGATGATTTTCATTGTTCGTGGCTCACAAGTGACCAGATTTGTGCCTCTGCTCCGGCATTGCGACCTCTTGTTGGTTTCTTTCTACCTCGTCTTCTGCAGACTTCCCGCAACTACGCCTCTGGTACGGGTCGCAAGAGTAACAAGCTGTTCTCGTCGGCCGGTCCCTCGAAAGCTTCGCGGCTTGAGTCACGTCAGTATGGCATTGACGGGCTTAGCATTGTGGAACCATTTGAGGTGATGCGCACCGTAGAGATGGAAACATGGACTGAACCGAGGGTTTCTCACCAGTCGGCCACAGGAGACGACCTGTCCTCAAGCCGTACCCGAGTGGCAACACCGACTACTCATTTCGACTTGAAAAATGAAACCACTGTCTATACCTCTCCAGGGAGTCACAGGTCGTCGGCGTCGCTCAATCGCGATAAACCTGGGTCACCCTTTGGGGACGAACACCTCATTTGAATGCCGTTCCCTGATCTTTGGTCTGAAAAAAAAAAAAAAAAAAAAAAAAAAAATTCTGTGCTGTGTTACTACTCACTCCACGATTTGTCACGACCGGGACGAAGAGCATTCGTCCGATAGTCGTAAGTCCGATGGTCTATAAACCTTCTGACGAGGCGATCTTTTTGCAATTCATGTATATATTCATTATTCCAATGTACACAATTTATGACCGTCTTGTGGAATTCAGCCATGCGCACACGTTGATTCTTCGACCTCTTCTGTTCTGACTTGGGCCTCACACTGCACCCCTTTAATAAGCTAACGGTAGTATTCAGGTTGAAGGTCAAGAGGTGAAGATCTCAATGGAGATCTTCAAGCTAGCTGAGCTGAGCCTGCATCTTCTGGGGCCAGTTCATACATAGAGTCAAGATTGGATGCATGTCACTCGATCATCTTTACTCCGCGTTCTATGTAGATCATCCTTCTGATAGATCAGATCCTTGGCATGTTAGTGCGAGAAACAGGCGGTCCTTATCGTGCGGAGTGGAGGGAGCATTTTTGTAGAAGATGGCAACGAGTATCTCTGAAGGTACAGAAGGCCTCAAGCATGGGGAACCACACATATCATCGGAAGTCCATTCCTCTTTCAAACACTCGTTACAATTCTCATTATTAATAGGAACCAACTGACTGAGCGGCTCCATCCTTGCTTCCTATCTCCAGTCTTGCTGCTCCTTGACCTTTGTGTCGCCGACCGTGAACGGTGGCTGCAAGCTCTCCTATTGGTCCAAAACGCCGACGAGCAATGACGCGCGGGGCGGCATTTCAACAGCAGCTCCATCTGTGTTGCGGTCTCGCGATAAATACGGTGTATATAAGGACGCAGACCCCTGGTTCCTGCTCGGCTTCGGACTCGCTTTCATTGGAATTACTGCTTGACTTTTTCCGTCATCTAATCTGTGTTTTTTGGTCGAATTTGGAGCTTCAATTCCACCTCGATCGGTTCTACAGCCCTTGAAGCTCTTATCGCCGCTTCCCCACACCTTTTTATCTAGGTTCGGTGCTGGGTGTCCCCCTGGTATAAGTACGACCTGTTTTCGCCTGCTGGACATTCTTCATCTTCAAGTTCTTACTCCGGCCTCGTAGACTCAAATCTCACAATGGCATTCCTTGCTCGTTCGACTCTCCGGCTCCGCGCCACTTCTCGCTTCCCTGTCGCAGCCCGCACGCTCACCACCTCCCCGCACCTCCGAGCAGCTGCGAAGCCTTACTTCGCCGATGAGCCCAGCGCTCCCAAGGTGGTCACCGCAATTCCGGGACCCAAGAACAAGGCCGCCACTGCTGAGCTGGACAAAGTCTTTGATGTCCGCAGCTTGAACATGCTGACTGATTATACCAAGTCTATTGGTAACTAGTACGTTCAACTGGTTGGCAGTTTTGGTGCGAGGTGGGCTAACATTGTTCCTAGCATTGCTGATCTCGACGGAAACGTGTTGCTCGATGTGTAAGTCATCGTTGTTCTCTCAGAACCGAACATCCGCTTATTCGAGTATTGTCTAGCTATGCTCAGATTGCTTCCATTCCTGTTGGCTACAACAACCCCCACCTGCGCCAGGTCGCTTCCTCTCCCGAGATGGTTACTGCTTTGATCAACCGTCCAGCTCTGGGAAACTTCCCCTCGGCTGATTGGGCTCATGTCTTGAACTCCGGTATCCTCAAGGTCGCTCCCAAGGGACTTGACCAGGTGTTCACGGCCATGGCCGGCTCCGATGCCAACGAGACTGCCTACAAGGCCGCGTTCATGTACTACCGTCAGCAGCAGCGTGGAGGACCCCAGGCTGAGTTCACTGCGGAGGAGCTCGAGACCACCATGAACAACCAGTCCCCCGGTTCCCCCCAGCTGTCCATCCTCTCCTTCAAGTCTGCCTTCCACGGCCGTCTCTTCGGCAGTCTGTCCACCACCCGCAGCAAGGCCATCCACAAGATGGACATCCCCGCCTTTGACTGGCCTCAGGCCCCCTTCCCCTCCCTCAAGTACCCTCTGGAGGAGCATGCGCAGGAGAACGCTCAGGAGGAACAGCGCTGCCTGCAGGAGGTTGAGCGCCTCATCAAGGAGTTCCACAACCCCGTTGCTGCCGTTGTCGTCGAGCCCATCCAGTCCGAGGGCGGTGACAACCACGCCTCGCCTGCCTTCTTCCAGGGTCTGCGCGACATCACCAAGCGCAACAATGTGCTCTTCATCGTCGACGAGGTGCAGACCGGTGTCGGTGCCACCGGCAAGTTCTGGGCCCACGATCACTGGAACCTCCAGACTCCTCCCGACATTGTGACCTTCTCTAAGAAGGCTCAGACCGCGGGCTACTACTACGGCAACCCCGCTCTGCGCCCCAACAAACCTTACCGCCAGTTCAACACCTGGATGGGTGACCCAGCCCGTGCCCTCATCTTCCGCGGCATCATCGAGGAAATCGAGCGTTTGGACCTCGTCGAGAACACCGCCGCCACCGGAGACTACCTCTTCACTGGTCTGGAGCGTCTGGCTAAGCAGTACCCCGAGCATCTGCAGAACCTTCGCGGCAAGGGCCAGGGTACCTTCATCGCCTGGGACACCCCCAAGCGCGACGAGTTCCTCGCCAAGGCCAAGGGCGTCGGTGTCAACATCGGTGGCAGTGGCATGAGCGCTGTTCGCCTGCGCCCCATGCTGATCTTCCAGAAGCATCACGGTAAGCATTCTGCAGTCTGACGTAGCGGATGAAAAGCTAACGCGTTACAGCTGATATCCTCCTGGAGAGCGTCGAGAAGATCATCAAGCAGCTGTAAGCTTCTAGCTCAACGGGCAATTTGTTTTCTTTCGTCTTTCTTTTGATTTGCACTATTCGGCGTTATGATTGATTCAAAGCGGATATCTCACGGGTTCGAGTTTCTGGAGTAGCATATATGATGAGTTATGTTCTAAAAGTGGTAATCGAATATGATCACTCATGGATATTCTCCAAGCATAGAGACAGGGTATCGGCGATTTAGGAAGGAGCGCTGTGGAAACATCATTGACCTGAAAATCATCTGGAGATCTAAAGAAAGAAAAAGGACCAAACTCCAGCGCAAGCCCATTTACTAACATGCCGTATGTATGTATAACACCGAAACTCCAAGCTCATGCTTTGACGAAGAATTCGTCCACCTGTAGACATCCCTATATCCGAGCAAAATGTACTTCCTCCTCCGACGATAATTCGAGTATCTTAGGCCTCCTCCTCCAACGCACTGCCATCCCTCCTACAAGCCGGTCAGTATCGCCACTCACGCAGGAGCCAAGGAGATAAACGTACGGGATATACTTGACCCCCGAATCCTCCAAGTTCGTAATGACATCGTCTGGCAACTAAACACTTATCAGCTTCGGCCGATATCACTGGAAGGTGTCGACTCACCGATCCTGTCACTTTAACAGCATATGTCCCCGCCACGTATCCCTCCAACCGCTGCCAGCGGGCAACCCAGCTCGTCGTCGGATCGCGCAGGGTAATCAGGCCCTCGAAGACCTGCGAGGTGCATTCCTGGATGGCGTCGTTGTTGCCGCGGAGGCCGAGGACGTTATCGCAGTTTGGGCAGCCTTCGCGCATGAATTTCTTGCACGTAAAAAAAAAAAAATAAGCTTAGTGGGTGTGGCAGGGGGTTGAGGCGAGGGGACGTACACTGTGTAGTTGGACGAGGGAGCAGACCATGCAGGCGCGAAGCGTGCGCTGCTGGCTTGGGGCGACGTAGAAGGATGAGGACATAGTTCTTGCTCTTCAGACTTTCGTCCAGCGGGTGACTGAGATTGACGCCCGAGTGAGCAGGAAATGAGAGTTGATCCTTATTTTGGCAAAGGCTGTGGTCGAGGAGAGGATTGTTCGATTGTCGAGCGACGGGAAAGAGAAATGCCAAGACCGGACCGGAAATGGACCAGAACAGACGGAGGATTGGCACGCCGCCGCCAAAGGGAGCGAAAAAGAAGGAAGAAGAACTCAGGAAGTGCTGACAGTTGATCTCTAATTTTTCCTTTCCTTTCTTCCCTTCTTTGTCCCGTTTCCATATTTGTCTATCTCTCTCCGCGTAAACCCCGCGTTTGCTATCTCCAATCCCTTCTCTCTTGTTCTCCCATCCGTGGAAATCGCCCTCGTGCCCATCTACCGATTCCATCGCACCCTTTCCCTCGGACGATTACTACGCTTCGCAGATGGCTTCATCCGATCTCGAGGCCGCCACCGCACTGAAAGTGCAAGGGAACAAGGCATTTGCCGAGCATGAATGGCCTACCGCAGTCGATTTCTACACGCAGGCGATAGACAAGTACGATCGGGAACCGTCGTTCTTCAGCAACCGGGCGCAGGTACGTTTGGCGCGGAGCGGGCGTCTACACTAGAATGTGAAGGAATGTGAGCTGCAGATGCTGATACAGTGGGACACAGGCATATATCAAACTTGAGGCATATGGTTTTGCGATCGCGGATGCCACCAAGGCTCTGGAGCTGGACCCCTCGTATGTCAAGGTGGGTCGAATGCGCATTTTCCAAGGAAACTTATTGCGCAAGTACTGGCTGACCACGCTGCTAGGCATACTGGAGAAGAGCTCTTGCGAATACCGCCATACTGAACTACCGCGAAGCCCTCAAAGACTTCAAAACTGTCGTGAAGAAGGAACCCAACAACCGCGATGCGAAACTAAAGCTGGCAGAGTGCGAGAAGCTTGTGCGGCGGTTAGAGTTTGAGAAGGCAATTGAGGTTGGGGAGCCGCCGTCTGCGTTCGAGGACTTGGACATTGATGCGATTGCCGTCGATTCCTCCTATGATGGCGTTCAGTTGGAGAAGGAGATGACTCAAGAGTTCATCAATGATATGATTGAGAGGTTCAAGAACGGCAAGAAGATCCATCGCAAGTATGCGTTCCAGATCATCAAGGCTGTCAAGGATATCGTCTATGCGGAACCGACGATGGTCGAGATCGGTGTGGAGCAGGGTACTAAGTTGACGGTTTGTGGTGACACACACGGTGAGTTTGGTTTTCTGTCCGGTGTACGGTGCCTTGCCCGCTAAACATTGTGCTAGGCCAATTCTTCGACCTTTTAAACATCTTCAACATAAATGGCTACCCCTCCGAGACGCATGCATACCTCTTCAACGGCGACTTTGTCGACCGTGGCTCGTGGTCCACCGAGATTGCCCTGCTCCTCTACGCATACAAGTGGCTCCGCCCCAACCGCATCTTCTTGAACAGGGGCAACCACGAGACAGACGACATGAACAAGGTCTATGGTTTCGAGGGCGAGTGCAAAGCCAAGTACAACGAACGCCTGTTCAAGGTCTTTTCCGAGTCCTTCTCCGCGTTGCCCCTGGCCACATTGATTGGCAGCAAGTACCTTGTCCTGCACGGTGGCCTCTTCTCCGACGACCAGATCACCTTGGACGATATCCGGAAACTGAACCGACACAACCAACGACAGCCCGGACAGCAAGGCCTGATGATGGAGATGCTCTGGACGGACCCTCAGACCGAGCCGGGCCGTGGGCCCAGCAAGAGAGGTGTTGGCCTGCAGTTCGGGCCCGATGTAACGAAGCGCTTCTGCGAAAAGAACGGACTGGAAGCTATCATTCGGTCGCACGAGGTCCGCATGGAAGGTTACGAGGTCGAGCACGACGGACGGTGCATCACCGTCTTCTCTGCGCCCAAGTACTGCGACACCACCGAGAACAAGGGTGCATTTATCAACATCGGGCCCGAACTCAAGCTTGACTTCAAGGTCTTTGAAGCAGTGCCTCACCCTGACATCAAGCCAATGGTAAATCCTGTCCTTTCGTATCTGCTCAAGTTACAAAGCTAACTATGTCTCTCCAGGCTTACGCGCAGAACTCCATCTTGTCGATGATGTGATATGACCTTTACGAACTCAGCACTGGTTGGCGTTTGTTTCGGATAGGAGGAAGATCTCCCTTGTTTGGTCAGAACGTAGCGACCTCTGGTTATGGGAATTAGATGCTACATATGGATGTTTTGGGATAACAGACGTGGTGTATCTATTTCTTTTGATCTATGTTTTTGATCCCTTGCATAGCGGAACAATCTGTGATCGAGATCGGTACACGATAGCTTTTGAATTAAAATCAATTATCCAGATTGCTTTAGCTTGAAAATGTCTTTACTTGAGCTTTTCAATGCAGTGGAATGGATAGGTAATCCCTCACAATTGCTCCTAAACCGAATTACCTATGAAGCCGTTCACCGGGCAATTATCCGCCCACTTTACCCCACGCAGTCCAGCTTTTGAGCCATCGTCATTCAACTCTAGCTATCTTTCTTTCTTTTCTTCTCAATCTATCAATCCCTTCAAACATCTTCCCTACCCAAAAATTGTGATTGAAACGGACAAAAGATGGAATACGACCCCAAGACCCGTATGTTCCCCATTCTCTCTCAAAGAGGGGCAGACCGATCTAACCCCGCCCTCCTGCATCCTCACAGCGCAATACCTCACCTCCGATCCATCTAGCTTCGGCTACGTCTCCGCGCGCGAGCGGTGGCCGGTCATCATCGTACGTCTTTTCGCGCCTTTGGCTCTTTTGACAATCCACAATGACTGATGAGGGATGGTATAGACCAGCGCAATCGACGATCTTCACCGCACCGTAGCCGACGTCACCGACGAGGAGAAACGCAAGGAGGGCAAGGCTATCATTGAGGAACTGGCGAAGTTGAAATATGAGATTCAGCACGACAGAAAGCTGACGTAGGTGATTTCATCCTTCAGCTTGTATCGAAGAATGGCTGATTGATTGGGCTTTTCATGGTTAGACCGCTTCCCGACGATGGCGAGCCAGGTATTGCCGAGTATAACCAGGAATTGGAGCAGAGAGGAACGCTCTCATGGCAGAATGCTTCGTGGCTGTTCTCAGAATGCTATCTTTGTGCGTTACAAAATTTTAATACGTGGTAATGCGGACGGTGCTGACGAAGACAGACCGGCGCGTCAGTACTCTCTTTGCACTGTCGAAGAACTGGAAGGGTTACGATGTTTTCTCCCGGCAGAAGATGTCTACGTTCAAGTCATCGCGTCCGGCGGTGTTGGAGCTAGCGGCGCGGTACCATGAGCTCGCGCTTCAGGCACAGAAAGGCAAGGGAGTGGACGGCAAGGCCGCGGAGGAGATCGAGCAAGCCGATCGATTACTCTTCTCTGAAATGTGCGAGATCTGCCTGTGGGGTAACGCGACAGATCTTTCTCTTTTGACGTCTCTCACATACGAGGATATCCAGAAACTGCAGGGTTCCAAGGCGCGCAAGGCGGCCGAGGAGAACATCCTCGTCAACGATCTGGACGCCGCCTTTGATGTACTCGCCAAGGCGCAGAAGGAGAAGAAGGACGGCGAGCGCCGTGTGGATATCGTGCTTGATAACTCTGGCTTTGAGCTGTTCGTGGATCTCATCCTGGCCGGCTACCTCCTCTCGGCCGGCCTAGCGACAACCGTGGTACTCCATCCCAAGGTGATCCCGTGGTTCGTCTCGGACGTTACCCCGCGGGACTTTATGGATCTCCTCAACGCTCTGGCGGACGCACAGGGCTTCTATACGGCCCCGGACGACACAGGACGCGAGTACGAGCCCCTCTCCGAGAAGGAACTGGCTGAGGTGAGGTTCCTGTTTGATCAGTGGAGTGAATTCCACAGCGAGGGAAAACTGGTCATCCGTCCCCACGCTTTCTGGACCGCTGGAGGCTCTTACTGGCGGATGCCCTACGTTGCACCCGATCTGTTTGAGGATTTGAAGCAGAGCGAACTCGTCCTGTTCAAGGGTGATTTGAACTACCGGAAGTTGACCAACGACGTGAGTTTCTCCTCAACTCCATATACCGACCGGTATTTACTTCCGTGGCTAACTATTTGACAGGCCGCCTGGGACCCAACAACCCCCTTTACAACAGCCATTGGCCCTCTGGGCCCCAGCTCCGGCATCCGCATTCTCTCCTTCCGCACGTGCAAAGCAGATGTTGTTGTGGGTCTGAAGCCAGGTGAAGACGAGAAACTCCGTGAGACGCAAGGCGGGGACAACCCCAAGGCGCGGAAGTGGGCATGGAGCGGCAAGTATGCTGTTATCTCTTTCTGTGACGGTAAAGCCTAAATTTATGTCCCGTAAATGAATAGAATAGATAATTAAATAGAGGATCATCATATTATATCAATCTCCGCAATATCTGGCACCGTTCGAGTGATCTCCCAGGTGCATTCACATCAAACCGACGGCTTCTCGCCATGTTGCTCGCTTCGAGAATGGTATTATCTTCGATAGCTTGCAACATCCGCGGCACTCCTTGCCAGGTTCCTGCCAGAAGCGGATCATGCCAGCCCGAATATTACCAGCTTTTTCCCTGTCATGGTGCTTGGCAGACAATGGAGCCACTGTAGTCATAGGGTGTTGTTAAAGTTGTACAGTTGAATGGGCCAGATCGCGTAATTCAACCACTGACTGCCAGATATGTTGATCTCAACCTCTCAGATTGGGTCGCACAATCAGATAGTACGTATGGCTCACGCAGTCTGCGATAGGTACAAGAAATGTCACCGTTTATGATGTTATCCAAAGAGTCATATATCTGCTTATCAATATGCTGGAATAGGCCTAAACGTTCTCAACATGTTCACCAGGAGCTTGAATGCCAGGAGCCTTCTCCTGAGTATCTTCAATCACTGAGCTATTGTGTCCCCTTGCATTGATGTGAGCAAGTCTTGTATGCCCATGCTTCTTTCTCTCCTTGTGAAGTTCATTCGAAATTCTGACGGCTGTTTTCTCTGGATTGGTGAAGAGATAATCGATCTCCTCCAGCGTCAAATTGGCTGTTTCAGGATAGCAGAAATATACCAATGGCACGAAGGCAAAGTTCGTGCACATAAATATCAAGTAAGCCTTCCACTGCAGCCGGTTGATGATGATGGGTGTGATCATGACAACGAAGAAATTCTGTATGCAGATGGTCAGCAACCGACGCTCTAAGGGCAAGTCACTCAACTCACCCAGATCCAGTTCGAAGAAATACCCACGGCGGTTCCTTTCGCTCTGGCGTGAAGAGGCAGGATCTCCGGCACGTAGACCCAAGGGATGCAGTTGACAGATGCGCCGAAGATGAGCATGTAGAGGAAGAAGAATGCAACGGAGGCTGAGGACGTTGCATGCTCGTTTGCCTTTCCCTTGAAGCTCAGGAGAATGGATACCATCATCATGCAGAGCCCTAAGCCAAAGGATCCCCACATCATCGGGACCCGACGACCGACACGGTCCACGAAGAAGGTAGGGAAGAAGCTGCCGATGACGAACATGACCTGAACGCAGCCTCCGATAATGAGCGAGAGGTTCTTGCTGAGGCCGACGTTACTGTTGAGAACTGTGGGTATGAAGTAGCTACGGGTCTCTGTCAGTGACGGGACGACATAAAGATTCGCAAGCACCTCATACACTACAAGATTGATGCCGCCGACTTGATTCATAAACTGCATACTATATGCTAGAAGACTATACCACGAATCAGCCAAGTACATATAAGGATTGACGATACTTACACCCGATGGCCTGTCGAAACTTCGTCGCGCCTAAATATATTTCTGATCCAATCAGTCAGTTAGAAGCATTCGTCCCTCTGAACACTAATTCCTACCTCCACTTATACACCCCATGTTTTGTCTCGAGTTCGAGAGCTTCAAGAATCTCTTCCTGTTCTGCCACGATCTTGGGATCGTCCTTTGGAAGACCATTGACGTCGCTCAGAATCTGGAGCGCTTCGTCGTTGCGCTGTTCCTTATAACAGTATCGGGGAGACTCCGGCAACCCAAATACCAGAATAATCACAACCTTGACCCAATGTTAGATGGCACCTCTCGTTCGCCGCAGTATGCTACTTACGAAAGCGAAGATCATCTGACACGCAATGGGCAGTCGCCAGGCAATCTGACCACCAACAAAGCTCATTCCGTAGTCAAAGAAATAGCTGATGACAATTCCCACGCCGACAAGCAAGGGCTCACTACATACTAGTTTGCCGCGCTTCGAAGCCTCGCATAACTCGGCTTGATACATGGGAACGGTGGAGGTTTCAATACCCGTGCCAATGCCCGTGACAAATCTCCCTACCATCAGATGGGCAACAGAGAATGCTGATGTTTGCAACGAGGCGCCAATCTGCTCATCTGGTCAGACAATCCTCGCAGACTCGAGTTGTCACAGGAACGCACAATTATCCATATCATTGCAACCCACATAGCCCGCCGCCTTCCCAGCCATTCCGCGACAACAAAGTTGACGATACACCCTGTGAAGCAGCCAAGGTTATATATGGAGACTATGATCCCCATAAGACTATCTCCTGGATGATGCATAGTATCGAGGAAGTCTTCATTCTCCACGATACCGCTAAATACTCCTTGATCGTAGCCTAAGATAGATTAATGAAGCCAAACAAAAAGGACACAAAGATGAATCACCTTACCAAAAAGTATGAAGGCCATCCCACAAGCCGCCCATATGGCAGCTTGCAGGGTGAAGCCTGTTCCAAACATGTTAATCTTGGCCATCCTAGATTTCTCTGCTCAATCTCCGACGCGCAGAACTCTGCACGTATCTACAAGGATGCGCATGGATCGGTGGAAATCTCGAGCATAAATATACCGAGTGGAAGTAGCGTAATATGTCAGTGCAACACAACCTGCAACAGGCATCCCCAGCTTCGAGGATCCTTCGAATGTATTACCCCGAAGATCCCATCCCAATTTGGCAATTCGAGCCACGGACTTCCCCCGCGAGCACAGAATCCATGCCGCTACCCCGCAAAATATGGGGAAGCTGGGGCGCCACCTGGGTAATCAATCGACTTAAAGTTGCATCGCATGACGATATCAAAGCCCTTATCATCATGTATTGCTAGTGAGTGACTCCAACTCACCGCGCCTCGAATCAAAGCGGACAGCTGGGGGTGGAAACTGCACTATCATCGAGCTCGCATTCAGCATCGTCAACACAAGAGTATCTCATCTAACTTCTTTAGCAAAATGTCGGCATCTGGACCACCTAAGAAGCGACGGTGAATTTCTACATCCTCCCACACTGAGAATTTGTTCCTCTCGCCAGCAGGGACCTCGCAACCAGATGGCTTCTCCCAGGACCCGGGCTATCTCGCCTCGCAGCAGGAACTCCAGGGTATAATATTCTCGCTGGCTCACTCCGCCGCTCCAACCCGTGGGACAATTCCTGAAGGGGACGGTCAGGGGACGTTGACCAGGCATCACATCGGAGACTCTCCGAGTTGCCTCTGCGATTAATCGAGAAGGGCAGCCATGTCTGTCTGATAGGCGACGGATTGACTATCTTAGAAACTACGCGACACAAGTCGCTCCGTAAGTGAGTTCTTTAGAGTTCTTCGTTCCAATCGCACAGATTCCTCTTATATCAACTGCCGTGGACTTACGCCCAAAAATTCAGCTCATATATGATGTTTTGAATCATTTAATATCCATACTATATGGTGATTCAAATCCTACTATATGGTAATTTGAATCCCTACCATATAACAATATAAATCATTCAATATCCCTACTATATGATAATACAAATCCCTACTACATGGTAATTCGAATTCCTACTATATGACGATTTGAATCATTCAATATCCCAACCCTATGACGAATTGACGATTTGAATGACTTTGATATCCCTACTATATGGTGATCTGAATCCCTACTATACGGTGATTTGAATCATTTAATATTCCTACTTTGAATCCCTACCATATGAAATATCTGTCAGCCATATCTTACCGCTATCGAATCCGGAGATTATCGGATATCGATATTTAACCGAATTCTGGCTGGGCCAATCAGACCGCTGGATTCGACCACGGATTCAACTCGCCGAAAAGATTTTACAGTTTTTCCATTTAGTCGATTATAAATAGTTAGTTAGATAGCTAGATTGCCAGAAATCAGACCTTCTTTTATCCCGAATCATACCGTTTACTAGCGACTACCATAGATTCGCTATTATCAGGGATCGGTTGACAAATCCCTATATATGAAAATTCCAAACGGTATGGAAATGTAATTCGAGTTAGGCGGAACTCAGAGCGGTCTACATACTTAAAACTCCTACAGTTATTTTTTGGTTTTGTCCCAATGGCTTGCCGTACCATGGATCCTTGGATGTAAACTGGACAAAACCGAGCTGCTGACATTGAATGCCCAATTCTTTTAGGAATGAGAGAGCGGATCATTTGAAGTGTATCTTCTGGCCTCTTTAAAACACTTCCGAGATAATTGACTTCTTATTGCAAGACTAAGGCGAATAGTCTCCCATATTTCTGTTTATGGCTGCCTTGATGACCATCATATTGGGCATGCCTTGCCTGCAAATACTAGCAGCTGTTGTAAGAGACGAGATGGTTGCTACTTGGCAGGGAAGCAGAAGCCAGTTGGACTAAGTGGTCATTATCCTTAACTGGCTAGGTGTCACTTTGTGATAATACTAAATCCGGATCCGGCTTGTTGGAGGTGATTTTCGCTCAGGGCCATGACTTCTTAACATTCATAGATGAGGAAGTATTCTCTGATACTATTACTTGCTTGAGTGGCCAAGAAATATGCTAAAATACTGTGAGATGGCTTTTAACACATATGCTTCCTATACAATCTATAATTATCAAGATATTCATAGAATCACAGCTAGATGTCTGGCTGATTAAGTGAGTCAGAGTCAGCCACGCAGGATGTGAGGCTGATCACCCCTCTTTCTTCTCTAACCTGAGACTTTCTTCATTTACTCCCTGTATGCTATTTTGATTACCTCTATACATAAACTTTAACCAGCCATAAAGCCCTCTAGGCCTTCTGATAATGATGATGGCTTCCCTCACGCCTGATGACTACACCGTTGCCTGGATCTGCGCCTTGCCTCTGGAGGCGGCAGCGGCCCGCGCGGCTGCGCCTTGCTTAATTAGACCTACACTCCACCTGATTGGTCTACTACTGACCCCAACGCCTATGATATGGCGGCCATTGTCCACCTTCCAGGTAGTGTATATGGGAAAGTGTCTGCCGCGGCTGTTGCGTCTCGCATGTGTTTAACTTTTTGTCGGCTTGAGTTTGGGGTGACAGTGGGGATTAGAGGATGAGTCCCCAAAGGAAAAAATGACATTTCATTAGGTGATGTGTTGGTCAGCAATGACAGCAAACCAGGGAAAATTCACAGTGGGTTGATACAGTATGATTATAGCAAGGTAGTTGAAGGAGGTTTGAATCAACAGGCATCTTAAATCAACCATCACAGACTCTTTCAATGCATATAAGCCAACTTGAGGCAAGACAGATGATCAGGGGGAAGGAAGCTGTTTCAAAAATAGTGCTTCCCACTAGAACAAAACCACAACTTCAAAGATAAATTTTCTCCGCGATAGGAACATGTCCATTCCTCCTAGTACGATGTTGGCAAAGAAGGTGCTTGTAATATGTGTGATAAAGAGCAATTAGTCAAACAACTACTGTGTGATTTCCTACCCTAGTGCTTACCCATTCACCCCCTCCACTCACCCCACTCACTGGTGGCACGACTTCAGGGTGACATTGCTCACCTACTAGAATGAGAATGGTAATGGTCTTAGTGCCGTAGTGTTTTGCTCAGTAGGAAATAGATGTCAGTCCCTGGAGATATCAGGGTCGCAATATACTGATTCTTCCTATCTCCACACACGCCAAGATATGCGGATAATAGTGTTTATGTAATAATAAGTATATCACAGTGCCAGTGCTTTACTGCTTTTCCAGGTTCGATTGGCCTTCTTATACCTGGTCTGGGTGCACTGATTCCATCATTCTGCCTTGCTATGGAAAAGCAGCAAGGCCAATTCACCCAATACTCAAATTTTACTAGAATTTGCAGATGTATCTACCAATCCTCATCAATATCACCTGATGATTAAACCCGGGTGCCTGCTCTAACTGTGTTTTACAGTTGCAGCTCTAAGCCTTACTTATCAAACAGACTATTGAACTAGTGCAGCTTTTAGCCTAGTTGTAGATATATACCAACATGAAAGACAAGCAGTGACTGGCTAATGAATAAGGCAGGGCACAAGAAAGAAGCTGGATTCAGTGGGTCAAGAAATTACCCTAAAAGGGAGTACATTCCAGACTATACATCCTTGATTATATGATACTCTAGCTTGGGTAACTGGACTACCTGAAAGTCTTTTTTGGCTCCCTAAACCCCCACAGGCCCATTGAACAAGTTGACCATTAAAGTAGATGAATCGGTCAGAAGCATGGCGCGGCCGTTACTGATGTTTATGTATATATGGCTACGAAATACTACTCTATGTACACAATTAGGAAATCAACCTCTACCACAGGAGATATCCGTACCACCGCTGAATTCATCATATGCGAAGGACCAAAAAGAGGGAATTTAGGAAGGAAACTGGAAAAGATGTTCATACTCAAAATCACTGATCGACCTGTGCCTGATACGGCGAAACCCGTCTTAACCACAAGGTATGGGATAGCAGCCTAGCTCCATAGTATCACAAGCAGGATAAAGTAGATTGCTTGAAAGTCTAACAAAAAAAGTTCTCAGGCAACCAGATGACACGTTAGTGACTCCGCAGCTGATGAGCGAAACGGGAGAGGAGCCTGAGGAGGTAATGGCACCATTCAGAAAAGGGCAGTGTACCAGCCTACCAGGGAGTGGGATTAGAAAAGAGAAAAGAAATAGAGAAAGTAGGTTGTTGGGAGGCAGGGTTGTATTGTCTAGATTCCACTAAAGTACGTGATTTTAATATAAAGTGAACCCGATACTACCCAATCTTCGGGCCGAGCCAGCAAAGACCAAGTTCTTTTGCTATCATGAGGCATTTAAAAGAAACTAAATGTCTTGGCGACTTTTCCTCCCAGCAGGGCTCTCTGGACAACAATTTCCAGATTCTGAGAATCAGTAAAAGGAACAGACATACTAACATATACAGGGCCACTTCTGTGGTATAAATATGCCTATAAATCCCCCCAATTCCCTTGTAACTACTCAAACAAGACAATAGATCTGGATTTTACTAAGAACTTCTACAAACCTCCTCTTTCAAGATGATGATACTGCATTTCTCTGTCTTTATTCTTGCATGCACTGCCTCTGCAATGACTTTGGTTCCACGGGCTGTGTGCAACGCAAAAAATAACTTGGCTTGCCCTAGCGAGGGTGTGATGGGATGTGAGAAAAACGGTGGCCATTCTGTGCGTTGCATGCTATCTGATCAGTATTCATATGCTAACATATAGTTTCTAAAGATGAGATGTGTCAGAAATGCGGTTGGTACAAACGTATGGCACTATGCAACAAATTGCCCAGACCGGAACGCACACTGTGACTGCAACACGGGACTGTGCGTTCCCAATTAGAGGTGAAAATCGGGAACATCGATTCCAGATTAATCGGGTTGAAAGGTTGTCCATGGAGACTCATGAAATCTGGCAAGGGGGGGGTTGTTGGGGTTGAGGGTTATTCAACACTTTGATATGGAGGTAACTGAGCAAGCTAT